CTGCAGATGGAGTTTAAAGCTTTGTCTTTCTGTGAAGTGAGACCCCACCACCCACACAAACATACACAGGCATGGGGATGCAATCTGGCCTTCTCATTCTGTGTGGGGCTGAGATGAACTAGTAAGTTCTAGATTGGAAACTTCTCTTGAGTATACCCATCTCCTGAACATATCAAGACAGTTGTCAGCTCAGATCCCAAATGCCAAGTGAAAACATTAAATAACCTAATAAGTGGGTAGATACCACACTGTGGGTTTCTGGAACTAGAGGACATTACTGCTGAAAAGGGTTTGGGAGTTAATGTGGATAATAACCTGAACGAGCCAACAGTGTGCCCTTGTTGCCAACAAGGCTAACGGCAAATTAGGCTACATTGGTAGGAGCGCTACCAGCAGCTTGAGGGAAGTGATTATTCCCCTCTATTCAGCACTGATGAGGCTACATCTGGAGTACTCTGTCCAGTTTGGGGCCCACCACTATAGAAAGGATGTAGACAAATAGGAGAGCGTCCAGGGGAGGGCAACAAAAATGGTTAGAGGGCTGGGGCACATGACTTCTGAGGAGAAGCTGAGGGAACTGGACTTATTTAGTCTGATGAAGAGAAGACTGAGGGCAGATTTGGCAGCAGCCTTCAGCTACCTGAAGGGTGGTTCCAAAGAGGATGGAACTAAACTGTTCTCAGTGGTAGATTGGTCTCAAGTTGCAGCAAGGAAAGTTTAGGACAGATAATAGGAGTCTTTCGCAAAGCACTGGACCAGGCTACCCAGAGAGGTTGTGGAATCTCCATCCTTAGAGGTTTTTAAGATCTGGCTAGACAAAGCTTGGGCTGGGATGATATAGTTGGGGATGGCCCTGCTTTGAGCAGGAGTTTGGACTAGATGACCTGCTGAGGTCCCACCTAATGCTTATTTTTTTCTGTTTACAATAATCTATTCTGAAGATGACATACTCACTGATAACTATTAAAGTCTGCATCCAAAACAAGAGTCACAGTTGGTAAAAAGCATTCATGCTTGTTGCTGCTGTCTTTGCAGCCAGAAAAACCAAGGTTCCCCCAAGACACCTATAATGTGAACTTTCATAACAAAAGGCAGGCAAACCTCCTCAAATGAGCTGGCAAATACAGCTTCCATATTTCACCAAGTTTTTCCTTTGAGCCTGGTAGTACACCTTAGTCTTAACTGAGTTTAGTCCAAGTCTTGTCTAGACACTTAGGGAAAATTAACAATTCCTCACCACAGTGACTTAAATACCACTTATTTGGATGAAACTTCCATAAGTCTGAATCCAAGAACTGAATCTAAATGAGAATATCAAACTAATCTAAAGGATATCAGGCTTCCAGGTGCTTCAGGCTTTCTCGAGACCTAGATGTTGCAATACCAAGAATTCCTTCCAAAGGCATCATTCCCAGGTAAAAGGAAAATTACCTTAAAATAAAATTAATAAAAGGTAATATATAAAAAGAATAATATAAAATATGGCAGAGGTTCATCAAACCAGTCCAGACATAAAGGGGTGACTGCCTACTGCACTGAACTCTAAAATACGCTCTGCTAAATAATGAACAATATTTATTACTAGAACTAATGTAATTCTTTTTTTTTCCTTTTATAACTAATTATTTAGCATAGGACCATTTACTTTTATTATGCTGAGGCCAATTGTTCAAGTGCAGCTCAGCAAATCCTATGCCAAAATACAGTCCTAGACTACTGAGTATGAGGACTTAAGATAATTCTTATGATCTGAAGCATTGCTATGAAAATGCATATTATCCCAGTGATTTATGCCCAAGAAAATGTTTTCCCATCTGAACTGTTACCAATAAAGTGTACTCTTGCAGGGCCTGATCCTCTGCAGAAAGGTAAAACCATTAATAAAGCAAGGGTACTTCTCATAGTGGTGATTTTTTGGTGTTGTTCCTTGGCAATTTTAATATTAGAAACAAAGGCAACGACATTATGTTTAAAATAAGACATATGGGATTGTAGATTCTTTCTGTTTCTGTAATTTTAGTGTCAATTACATTAAACTTTCCAGTCCTTGGGGAGAATGATATAAAATGATGCTAGAAGGCCATAGGATCATTGAGGTGTTCTAAAGGCTTAAATCTAGTGGATATAATATAGAACAATTCACAAATGAGAAATTCTCTTTTTTAGAAATGAGGCCAAAAATCATTCAGGGACATAGCAGAAAAGTTAATTTCCAAAGTAGGTTTTATAAGAAGATTTATTCAGATTAAGTGATTTCATGATGAAACATGACTTTAAATAAAATAGAGATCAGTATGAAAATAAAATAAAATTGTACACAGTAAATCTTTCCCTCAAAGCATTTTATGAATAATAGGAAAAACAAACACATCAGGTATCCAACTGAGAAGATAATTATGCAGTTCTGTGAGCAGTTCAACATTATAGTACATTCCTCAAACAGAGGCACTATGAAGTGCCAGTCATGTAACACAGAGTACATTTCATTATCTGCTGTCTGACTCTAAAAGAAGAATGAAACAAGTGATACAATGCAAAACAGAGAAAAAGATATGCATCATTCTAATGCTTGAAGCACAATTTATCCTCATTTTTTCTGTGTAAGACATGCTAAATTCAGATGAAACTTAAATTAGCTTGTAGAAAGGTAGAAAAAAGTGGTATTGCATTTGATATAGTTTTGTGAACACAACAAAAAGTATGGAAAGGCTTAAAAAATACATCACGTGCTCTACTTAAAATTTAGAAATAAATATGCACTCTATATTTTTACAGTGCCGGAAATCTTTTAAAAACAAAGAACTGGTATAAAATTATATCAAGTAACACCTTGTCAAAAGTGAGGGAGATGCACCTATATACCTGCTTAATTCTGGATGCCTGCATCCCCATTATAAAATCTTGCAAGCCTATGTGCTTTCAGAGACACTACTGACAACCAAAACTCTGCTCGTGTGAGCCTAGAAAGGCAAGTTCATTGAACACCATGGGCTTCCAGGGTTCCTCACAGCACTTTCTGATACTATAATTTCCTCTTCTCCCTAGACCATTTGTTGCAGATGGCTATGTTCAGCCACCTAAACTGAAAGCCTCCATACATACAACACAGCAAACGCTGCTCCAGGCTCAAGGATGCCTGCGAGGCTGCCATTCCAATCCACGGAGAAACAGCATACCAAAAAAATGCTCCTAAGATGATTTATGTACTTAATTTAGAATACCTTAATTGTTTCTCAGTTCCCATCTGTAATCTGACAAAAAACTGCAGTTTCCTGAGTGTTGGAGGCTCGGTGCATAATGATGTCCTGCTGCATGGAACTACTGAAACACGACAATCGATCATACAGTCCTTTTTCCAATTTGTGAAATTATGACCAGCTTAATTAGCTTGTTGAAAAGGGCAACTTGCAAGGAGCCCTTTTTTTTTAAATAAAAAAAAATAAAACTATTATAGTCAATCTTTGTCTACTAGTTTTATTTAGATCACAATGAACTAAATCCTTAAATCCTTCTCAAGTCCTTACTCAGGATACTTCCCACTGTTGTCAGTGGAGTGGTAGAGTCAGGATCCATACTGCTAAATCAGATTCAAAGCTCACTGAAGATGACAGAAATACCATCCTTAATTTAGTATCACCCTCCTGAAAAGAAACTTTGCAGGAGGCCCAGGTTCTCTGGAGAAAGTTCTCTGTAGAATTTCATGGTTCTTATAAAAGCAAAGCACAAAACCAACTATTCAATCAATCCATTAGCTAAAGACTGATTAAAAACTAAGTTAGGTTTTAGGATTCAGCCCATGATTTCTCAAATGAAAGTTACCACCAGGAATGATAGTTTAAATAGCTTCTTATCAGATAGTTTTGCTTACCAACATATTCAGTAATGAGCATAACATGAATTACTTATAAAATAAAGAAATAACTTTTCAGCACCAGAACAACCTTTCCTTTATGTACAAGGCTCCATTATCCCAATGATAGTTCAAGAAAAAACACATAAGTAAGCCTAATGATCCCTCAGGTTAGATTATGAAGATTTAATACTTCTTGGCTAAAATTATTTTATACTGCAGCTAACCTAGATGTGTGGTACTTTTTCATCAAGTGCATTATTTGAGATGGCTTCCCAAGGCCTCACTTGACAGTAGTCTTCCCTTTTTCTGTCAGTAACTGCTTATACACTGCACAGCATGCTCTCCAATGTGCGATGCATAAAGGTCAAAACAGCTTCTCTCTTACGCCATTTTCTGTCTCTGCTCTTTCAACTCTACTTTCACTCCAGTACATTATTCCATGACTGCCATTACATTATTAAGGGCATACTCCAATTTTATTTTTCAGGACCTACCCACTTTAAGTGACTACCATTTTGTATTGTAACAGCTGCTCAACTGCTACAATTACATTTTTGAGCTAGCATGATTTAAGAGGCTTAAGTAGCTACTACTTCTTGTTCTATTTAAGAATTAACTAGTGTTAGTTTCAGGCAAGCCAGGACATTAGTTGTAGACAACAGTACAAGAGACTGCAATGTCTCAGGCAACATTTCTATACTGTATCTGCCAGCTCCTTAGAGCTGGACTGCATGGTACAATCCTAACATAATACATTATGCAAACTATCATTTTCTTGATGCTTAATAGCTAATTCAGTGGAGTGTGTCAACAATCGATTATAATCCAGTCAAGAAATAAGAGAACACACCTCTCGCAGCAATTTCTGGATTAGTGTTAAACTGCCCTGGTGAGCCAAAAGCCTGATCATAGTGGATGGAAGTGGGGAAAAATACATACCAACTATATCTATGATATATATATCTACAAATGTTATTTTATTCCCTCCATTCTGACTTTGCCATTATTATAGATGATCAGTTGCTCTCATTTACTGACTGGATGGGGCAATGATGCAGATGCTGTGCAACTAATATAGAGAAGGCAGACCCAAATAAGGAAGTGAATGAAAGCTGAGACATTCATTCTTCCTTAGGAGTAGCGTAGTTTCACAGATTTTAAAATTGAGGTTGCCATTGATGTCAGCACTCTGCTAAATAATGACTTAATATGACTCCTACTTACTTGTAGGGAAGTGAGAGACTTCATGGCAATAAGGATTTTCTAGACATGGTTGAATGTGAAGTTCCTGACTGTATTGAGAAAGAAACCATCGTATAGAGAAGAATGAAGCATCACTTCCATTTTTCAGTTGTTTTAAATGGGGTAATTGAAAGAAACAAAGCTTGGATACATTTTGCATTCACTATCATTTCAAACAATTTCTTAGAGTATTTTGCACTGGACAATCTATCGTGTGGTTTAATTACACTTGGTGTGGAAATTAGTAAGTTAAAACTGCCAATTATTAATTTAAAAGGGGCTATTTCAAGAGCACAGTTATTTTTTCCAAATAATTTCAAAAAGTTTTGCATAACATTTTAAATATGTGCAGATACTGCAACAATGCTGAAGGAGTCCTTTTAATATGTTGCTATCTTTTACTTGCAGCCAAGAGGAGTTTTCCTGAGTAATGCTAAAGGGTTTTTCATTATACCACTGGAGAGCTCTCCGAAAGTTAGTGGCGAGTTAATATTAAAATACCAATGGGATACTCTCACTTGACTAAATGTGTAAGATATGTTCCCTGATTAATTAAAGGGAAATTGCTAAGCAGTTTGGATCCAAAAATTAATTGTTGATAAAATTGTTTTAAAAACAATACTAAAAATGGTTTCAGAAAGCTATTTTAAAATGGCAGTAAGATAGTAGCAGGAAGTAAAATTGACCAGACAGAACATGAAACTTTAATCTTTTTGCATTGTTATGATCTTTTTGCATTGTCCAAATTGAAATTTAAACTACAAATTATGTGTAAAGTATATTTAATGTTAGCATGTTCAGTTTTAATAATCTAACATTATTACTGAGAGAAAAAGGTTTTGTTTTTTTAAAGAAAAAGTATTCGTAACTGGACAGTGTCATTCAGATAACTATTTTTTTTTGTTAAAATGCCTATATAGTACGTATGTATTTTTCAAGGAGGCAAAAGCCATACCAAAGCAGATTTTCTAGTTTCTGTTTGATGCTAAATGTATTTTACCAAAAGATTAGTTGCTCAGCTACAAATATAGAGGCCTTTTATTTGTAATTTGTCAGTCAGCCAGCACTGAATTTTTGCCACTGGACTGGGTAGTCGTGCTATCATCAATTAACAGCCCTAGGAGAAAAAATTAAGTATTGGGTTTGATTAATTATTTTGAAAATGTTGTTTGGGATCAGAAAGTGGAGGAGAAGGGACAGAAATCTACTAGGAAGAAGGGCAGCTTAAAACAAATACTAACCTGTAAGGGTAACCTGAAGGCTTAAATTATCACTTCAGTGATAGAACTACTTAATGCTTAATTTCCAGTAGTGTTAATGGAAACAAATTCATCATCTTCCCTCAGAATGAATGGCAAAATGAGTACTCAACTATACTAATGTGATTCAATACAAACAAGCTTTAAACCTTTAAATGAAATTCAAAGTGCTTTTGCATTGTGTTTTGGAAAATGAAAGGACAAAGACTGTACAAGCATAGCTACTATACCTCTTGTTCACAAAATTCTCTCTGCTGCAGTACTGCCTCTGTGAAAATCTCCATGAACATCTGTAGTTAACACCACAGAAACTCAGCATCTGCAGTTAATATTGCAGAGATTACATTTAGCAACCAGATGATACGATTCCTGACATTTAAAACTGAAGTGTGGGTTGTCTTTTTTTTGGTCAGGGGAAAGGGGGTTGACTTTGGGAAGGTCTAAAAATGCACAAGAAGCCGCACAACTGTTTTTATTCCTATAATTTAAAAACAAGCAAATCACCAGTCCGCTGTTCTGAGTCTGCTTATATCATGCCAGAAAATTTCTTTCAGATGATATGCCAGAATGCTACTGCTTGGATTTTCAGCTTCTTCTGAAGTTTACATATATTCAGCATATGTTGTCTGACCTGGAGTTTACACTGTGAAGTTTACATGGTGCTGGAATGGATTTCACCTTAGATGCCCTCTGTATCTGACTGTAAGCAGTAGCTTTCTGGTTCGTCTCTGGCCTACAACATATATAATGAAAAATGTCTTTAAAAAATGCAAGAGGAATATTGTTAATTGAAGGGAAGGAGTGGAATTTTAACACTAATGGAGGAAAACCTTTACTTTACAGACCAAAAGCAGAATTTCTGTTATACAGATATTGATTCTGGGCTGAAAGAATTAGTTGATAAACTAAGGGATACCACAATCTGCTGCTGAAGGCGTTTCTTTAAAAGGCTGTCTCATGGTCTAAATGGTTGAGAAAACTATTATAAGGTAAGTGGTTCTGGTATGCATGCCTTGAATGAGAAGCTACATGCTACAGTATATAGTATAACAGACATCTCTGTCTCTGGTTGGCATATACTTATTAGTACTCATATACTCAAGCTTTAGTTAGCAGAGATGATAGTTACATTCATCTTCAGTGGCAGAGAAGATGCAAATTACATCCCTCCCTTAAGTTGTACCTCAGAAGAGTAGAAACATCTTCCCCAGAGTGTCTGCCAGGGAAGGGAGCCTTGCCCCTGGAGTCTGCATGATCTAAGTGCCCTGAGAAGGCACTATCTGCCATTTAGTGCTGGCAGAGCAGGACAGGTAGACACTTCAAGTTAATTACTATAAGGATCCATCATACTTAATTATTATGAGGACACATCTACATTACACCATTTCTGAATAGAATCCATTACCTAGTTCTAAGAGACTTTTTCCCCAAAAGGAAAGCTTGTCAGTAGCCAGTTAGTAGTCCTCCAAAGTGATACAAGTGTTTTAAAATGTGGCTTTTCATATATCCTTTATCCTGGACCCCCATTCTATGCTTTTTTTTTTGTCAAGAGTTAAACTGTACAATCTGCAGAATGGCAGGGTTGCCTTTTTCTGGGTGGAGTGTTGAAGAGGAATGGGTGCTAAAGCTGGTGGATGAGTACCGTTGGCTAGGGATGTGAGAGTTTGGGTGTGTTAAGCCCTTTTCCTCTAGGCTTTCTATCTTTCACTCATTTATTCAGGGAAGCTTTTCTTAAATATAGCAAGGAGTTGGCTGATTACTGAGCTGTGGGGACTGCAGCATAAAGGCAACCAGCTCCTCACCACCTTCAACAGATTTCCCTAGAGTCCAGCACTGTATAGGCAGGGCAAAACAGGAGGAGGGAGTAGAATTTCTCTCAGCCCTTTAGCTCACTTCCTGGTTCTGGCAAAAAAAAAAAGCCAAAATCCAGGGACTGCTAAGATTTGCCATCCATGGTGACTTTTCAAGAGCTTTGACTCATAAAAAGGGCAGAATACAAACCAAATTTAGTAGTAAATCTCTTTTTTTAAATAAAAGCTGACAAATGCGTTTGTTATTCTGGTCTGTATAGAAGAATAACTTAATTGAAATTTAGTTTGTGCCAAATAGTACTGTCAATGAGTTTCTGGATAGATGCTTGTAAAATATATTATCCTCTGGAGGTCTCATATTTAGGTGATAAATACTGTAATATTAAAACAGGCAAATTCTGCAGCTCTTAGTCCAGCAGTTGGGGGGTTTTTTGGCTGTAAGCAACTGGAGTTTTAGGCAATGAATTTATCATGTGAAATACGTGCCAGGCTTGAATGACCAGCTAAAAAGGTGAATTAGTCTTCTGTTTATCAGGTTTAATGATAAAACATATGCATTAACAAGCCATGGGCCTGTAATAAGATACCTTAGCAAAGACTGATAAATTGTGTGTAAAAAAAAATATAGTAGAACAGTTGGACTTTTCTTTGCTCCTTGGTACTTGCCAAAAGTAACGTAATCTGTTTACCTGTATAAGCCCCTGATGTCACTATAGAACTGAATTGATTCCTGCTTAGTAAAGTCAAAAGATATTTTTATTCTGTTTTTGAGAGTGGGACTTCTTTCATTGTCTGAGCACAGGTCTTATTTCCTCTGTCACTCTGAAGAGGCTCAGAATTCCTCAGCCCTCTGCTGTGACCACCACAACAGCACCTACCTTCTCATTGCGAGGGTGGAAAAGCAGAGTTTGCTGAAGGGATCTTTATTGCCATCCCAATATTCACCTGAGTGTGTGGGAGCTCCCACAGAAGTAAGTATAGAAAAAAAGCACGTGTGTGGGAGCTCCCACAGAAGTAAGTATAGAAAAAAAGCATGTCATCAGTCAGAGGCCCCCACTCAAAGTGGTCCCAGAGTGGAAATCTTGAAGTTACCCCCAAACCTAGTTCTCCTACAAAGCAAGACTTTGCAAAGACTCAATGCCATAGAATGACGTGGCAAGATCTATGCATGTTCTGGTCATCCATTATCCGATATTCCACTCATTATCAAAAGTTTTGAAATATAATAAATGCAGTCTGTCTCAATGACTGTACAAGAACTAGTGCAAAGACACAACTACACTAAGAGGCCTGTCGGATGAAAGGTCCTTGTGAGGAATGGATGTAAATGAGCCTTATACACTGTGGCAAACTTAACATAATTAAATTGGTGTATTCATGCATCTTTTGATATACCATACAAAAGTATTCTTTTTTAATTAACATCAATAAGAAAAATACTTATCAGTGAAAATGCAGGTTTAGAAAGACACTATGAACATTTTACATCTTGGAGGTGGTCACTGATAAGGGAGAGTGGTTTCATTACGATTAGAGGTGTAATCTGGAAGTGTTGCCCATGATTTTCCAAATAAGCTATAGTGTTTTATGGTGCTGTACAAATTAAAGTTGCAGGGAAAATATGAAACATCTGTATTAAACTCCATACCTTTAAGTTTACCTGATGGATGCAAAATTAATTAAATGCATTTAAAACAAATGCATATTAAAATATCACATACAGTGAGTCTTACAAAATTATTACTTATGTGCACAGTCCTGATATCTACAGACATGGCACTGTGAAGAAGCTTGGTTCTTAAGAAGCTGTTTTCTAGATACTTGTAAGAATGATGCAGTTTTCTGTCAGTCAGATCATAATGTCCCTTCAACTTTGGTACATTCAGTGCAAAATATTTTTGGGAATTTCTTACCCTTATAAAAATAAAAGGCATTTTTTCCTTGAGAGTGCATAAAGAATAAACACCAGCACAATGTCTGTTTTAAGCATGGAAAGTGAAAGGAACAGAAATAGTTTGCTAGTTTCCTATTTACACTCTAAGTAACTTAATATAATGAACCTATAAAAATAAACAAAAGTCACTGTGTTTTTTTCCTGATATGCTGTGATAAATTGCCAAGTTTTTTAAAAACAGTTTCCATGCAGTACGAAGCATAAAATCAGTCATTTTTAAGTTCATTTTATGAGAGCTCATCTTTTGCCATATACACGCCACTTGCATATACATTTTCACAAACCTCCTGATTGCAAGCCATTGTTGAGATATCGCTTGTTGCTGACGTTTCTTCAAATTTGCATTTGCCCCAGAAAGCTGACATCTATGGTGCGCACCATGCAGGCAGTCGTACCCTTAGGTATAGCAAGTAATGGATATTCTATTATAGTATAGGGCATAAAGTAATGTACCTCTAGGAATCTTTTAAAAAAGAATTCTATTGTTTGACTTAGCTAATTTAGTGGTGGGCTGAACGATTTCACATTTTGACTTGAACTTTACCTTCAAGGACTTTGGTGAAATTTAGTTTAAAGTTATTTTGTCAGTTCTTGCAGTAACCGCATAATTGATCATATGTGGATACAATTTTTGCTTGAAACATAAATGTAAAAAGTTTGGCAGTCAAGAAAAAACTGCTGATTGCAAGACTGTAGGTTCTCCCTGCACACCAGGCATGCTCCAGTCTTACTGTTGAATACTTTGCCACTGTCACAATGCTTGTAAATTGCTTCGTAAGCCCATTCATAGAATCTCATTACTTGAACTGCATTGTAAAACAATTTTCCTCTAGGAAATCAAATACAAACGTTCATTCATTCTTTGAGAGGCCAGATCCACAAAGGTCCGAGAAGCTGGGCACTATGGTTTGCTCATCACTCAAGTCCAAAAGTACTTGTCTCTTCAACTGCTGTCAACAGTTTCTCATACAGCATGGAGAAGGATGGGTAAGGGGGAAGATCAAGACGATTGAAACAGGTATGAGCCCTGCAAAAAAGGAGGTAATTAAGTACAGTTTATTCAAAAAGTTCACATGAAATTAAGCAGAAATACACATGGCCAAATAGTCCTTTTAAAACATTCTGCTCCATAAAACAGTATTTTCCACGGAACAGCATATGTATTTTTCAGTTAGAGATTTAATTCAGGAATTATTATTTGTCAGAGTTACTTCTGATCCACAGTAAGAGTCATATTTTTGAAACCGGCAGCCTAAACTTTGCCTGTGAAATGTACACACACAAAATGTGCAATCTGGAGGCACAATTTAGGCAGGCTATTTAAAAAAAATTGATGTAATTATATACTCTATAAATTAATGCTTTCTCTCTGCAGTAGAAATCTAATATTGAACTGGTGATCATGGACGGATCATTTCTGTACTAAGAGGGCCCCCAAGTTAGATGTAGTGAAATATTAGAAAATGCACTTTACAGGGGTGATCCTGCATTGGCACAGAGTAGACAAATTAGTCTCTTCTACTGCTCATTTACTGTTAAAGGGCCACATCTCTAGCTAGTGTAAACTGAGGTAGCTGTCTTGAACTCATTGTTATGATCATTTACAGCAGTTGAGGATCTTTTTGGTGACTCAATGATTCAATGACTCCTGTTTACAGAGAAATGTTTTTAGTAGTTACATGAAACTACATTATAATGCTCTCCTGCTTTCTTGGTGGGACAGGAGTATGCTTTTTTCTTAGTTTCCACAGCTTGCCTATCATAATCTCTAGGCATATTGTGAAGAGGCCCTTGAGTCCTCCTATGGCTGACAGGCAAGCACAAACCATCAATGTGAGCAGAGGATGAACCACAACTACCTGACTTTTCTATAGAACATTTGTAGGCAAGCAGGAAATTCCCTGTCATCTTTGAAATGATCCTACTCCAGTGAAATAAATGGCACAATTCCAAATGATGAAATAGTAGGATCTCTTGTGGGAAAGGTGCTGAGAGGACAATTCTAAGAAATTTTCCTTTCTGCCTTGAAACTTGCCTTACATGAGCCTCATTTTAGACATTTATTTTGTAGGGTGAAGGTCCTTTTGAATTTGTTTGGCCCTCTAAAGGGCAGGACTTTCTTTACATTTGCATTATCTTTTTCCAGTGAAGCACATGACCCCACTGTTTCTCTCAAGAAATCTGAACAATTGTTTTGGATTTGTAACAAACTCTGGGAAAACAAGAACGTTTCCAGCCTCCAAATGAAGAAAAACAGAGACCATTATATTAAATGCCTGTCAGATGGTAACTACCAGGACAGATCATAAAGAGAAGAAGAGGTGGTTTGCCTTAACTCCTTTATGAGAGGGAAGCAAAGAGGTCATTACAGGCCCCTGATGAAGGTCAAACACTAATCTAACAAACAACTCTATAGTGCCATGAAATACCATACTTTGGGAAATACAAACACAACACAGGGCCAGGTTATCAGTATAAAAATGAGAATAAACTTAAAGTGTACTGCAGCATTTTGCAGTTACATAATGCATTTTACTCCATCCCAGATTAATAGACTTAAGAGTACACAGCCAGAATAAAAATGTTTTTCAGCAGTTGAAGTTCTAGGGACCTGGTACAGGGGGTTGTACCCCATCTCCTCCAGATCTGCTTCACTGATCTCCCCAGCTGTTTCTGTGGCCCCTTTCCCCATTCCAAGAAATTTATGGAGAGTGTATGGCTATCTGGCATGACTTAAAGGTTGTATTAGCTTTCCTGAAGACTCCCTCTATGCTTGGGAGTGTCGTTAAAAAAAGACCTGGTTCCAGTCACAACAAGAGGATGGCAACTGGGGCAGAGTTACTAAGGTAGCTGGTTGGCCCTAGACATGCAACAGTTCCCAGGGTTCAGGGGATCATAGTGGGATTGGTGCCCTAACCTACTGGCTTCTGCTGTGTGGAGCTGTCTTCTCTATCTGACACTCCCAATGGAGAATCTGAGGAAAAACTTTATGAGGGTAACTTTATGGAGTTTCTCTCTCTATCTGGGCCATTATCATCCGACTCATAAAATCTTCTTGGCTGTAGAGCGCACAGATTTCTTCTTCACTTCTGAAAATGCATAACTTCAAGCACCACTTGGAAGTGAGGTGTTTCTTTGAAACAGACCCACTTGTTGGAATTATGCAGCATGTGATATGTGCTATAAAACCTCAAACTATAAAAGTCATGACGTATGAATTTGTAAGGGATTCATCGCAAAATGGCCTAATGTTCGTCTTACATGTTGCTTAGAATTATTAGTGAAAAGAGAACTGTTTCACTTTTGAGGATGATTTGTCACAGCATATTAAGAATGTGACCAGCATCTTTAGAGAACTCGAAGAAAAAAAGAAAAGAAAAAAGACCTTGCTCCTATTCACATGCTTCTCTCCTATTCTGAGAATGGGCTTTGTCACTGTGCCAGGAGAAGAAATGTTCCTTGGCCAGTCTTCTCCCACCAGGTCTTTTCGGACTAACTGGCTGCATCTACACATGCGCTTTACTGTGGAGTAGACTAATCAGCTGCAGAGTAAAGTATCACCATCTACGTGTGTGATGGTATTAGGCTACAATAAACTAATTAACACAGCAGTAAGATAGTACTGTTGGGGACAATACTATCTTACACTGGGATAATTTACTGTGATTATACACATGCATAGATGCTGACTGCAGTTGTAAATTGTGCCTGGTCAGCCCAATCAGCCAGGGGCCAGACTCCTGCCTGCCAACTAGCCACATGGCTCTGCACTTTCAGTACTCTCATACCCCAGCCAGCCCCTCTACCCCCCCCCCCCGCGTTTGGGGCTGATTCCCCCCCGAGTCCCCTGCCAACCTGGACCTGCTCCACCCCAGCTCAAATTGCTGCTGTCCCAGGCACACATGTAAACGCTGTGCCTGGGAGTAGTTTCCTCTGGCTCAAACTGCTCTGTAGTATAATACTTTGCTTTAATTGAACATGTAGATGCACCCTCTGTTTACTATGTTTGTCTTTCTGAACTCACATTTTTCTGATGAAGGTAAAAATTATCGTAGTTCCAAGAGCCATGATATCCAATTACTTTCCCCTTTACTAGGGTTAACATAGTAGTCAGACACACTGACTCTTGGTCCAAAGTCCAGTATGTTAGCAATAACAGAAGAATGTTGTTTGCGTGCAAGCGTTGGCACTAGCTGTTACTACAGAACAGAAACCTACCTAGAACGTGCCCAACTTTTAAGCATTTAAGTGAACTGAAAGAGTAATAGTCCCTCTACTGATTTCTGATTTAGACTGCTGCACAATATGAAAAGCAAGCTGGAAGTTGAAAAGGCAGTGACAGAAACTAGACAGCTTACAGAAGTTTTGTTATTCAATTCAGTTGGACTGGTTATAAGAGGGTCAGACTGAGGAAACAATGAAACCATCCAATTAACATATCTGTGTTTACAGATAAGTACCTGCTTGGACCACAATCACCCATCTCAGAAATTGTTATCTGTATTAGGCTCTCTCAGCTTCACAAAACAAGGACAGGAAAAGGCCATTTTATCCCTATATTTGCCCTCTCTGGCATGAAAAAGCAAAACAAAAACATTGATTTTCTGAATGCCTTACATTGAGTTGTACCAGATTCCACGAACAGTTCCACTGAAATCAGTGCAAGTATTCTCATGGTAAACAACTGCTGAGTATGACTGAGGGTGTCTGACTCTGTCCCTAAGGTCCTTACATATGTTCATTTAAAGGTACTATGGGATATAGGATGAGATATAGGCCCTGATACCAACAATTGCACCTCCTGCCATGCCATACATGCATGGCAGGAGGCAGAATTTTGGAATCAGGGATCAGATCCCAATCATACTCTTTCTGTTTGCCAGTCTGGTATCATGATCTCAGGCTCCCCCTCCATCAGCAAGCTGAAAGCAAGGAGGCTGCAGCACAGTGTGACCTGATGCAGTTCCAGCCCCAGGGCTGACAGTTAGCTGGTTGCTGGCACTGGCCCTGGGGCAGCCTCAGACATACCACGTGTTCAATTTAAGACACTATGCAAACCAGCCATAAAAATATTCTGCATTATATGTGGAACCTTTTTATGGATGGCTTGCCATTTATGGTGCCTTAAATTGGGTGCGTGTATCTGAACCCTTCCCATTTATACTGCAATTAACATGTTAATTGCAACTTAAATGTAACATGTAGAGGGGACCTAAATTAATACAAAACCCCAAAGTAACCTGGAATCATTTGGAACCTTAGAGCAAAATTTCAGGCAGCCTCTGGAAATGCAACCACTTTTACAGGATTTGTAATGGAAGCCTTTTGAAAGTTTGTCACTGAGTGTCCTTGTTTACTTAAGTAGTCTCATCCAGTGCTGCAGGCAGTGCAGTCAGTGCCTCTCAGGATACTGTCAGACATAAAGGCAGTTACATGACTGGTATCTGAGGAATGTTATGCCCCACGCTCCAAATCATGCTACCTACCATGCCATATGTACATGATAGATCACGCAACTTTGGGAATGGGGCATACAATTCCTCTGACCATAACTGTGTGACTACCAACTGCCAGACAGTGATAGAGCAGGGGGCAGCAGGTTCAAGGTCCTGTCTCAACCCCAAGCCCAGTTCCACCAATTGGGCACAGAGCAGCTTTGTTCTGGACCCTAGCCCTGCCCCATGCTGGACAGTGATGCTCAGCTGAGCATCAGGATTCAGCACCAGGCAGCCCCAATCCCAGTTCAGACCCAGGGCTGCCCCTTGATCCTGACAACCAGGTAGGGGAAGGCTGTATGCTAGAGCCTGGAGCTGCCCCATGCCCTTAGGTTCACCAAAACCTAGCACCTTAAAGAGTCTTAAAGATAGAGAGCTGCAGGACATGATTCTTTGAGCTGCCAGGTCCTGGCAAGCCCGTATTCTGATAGAGAAAATCAGCTGGAACCCCCAATCAGGTTTCAGACCAGGGGATACCCAGGGCCCAGTGCTGACAATTAGCTGATTGTCAGCATTAAGATGACGGGTCATA